AAACTCAATTTGAAAATAAGTACCTTTTTCCTACTCTAGACAAGGCCCAAGAGGTATTGGAGAGTGGTTCTGAACAATTGCTCATCCGTTCTGAAGAATCTCTTATAAATGGCGTGAAATTTTGGGTCATCCTTATGCAAATTACATGCTGCTCTGCATTTTCATTTTTATCAGACCTGGATGATGATGTGTCTGTGCTTTCTCAGCACCTGGCCAAGATTGGGACTTGGATGAGAATAATCTTTCTGTGTAAACCAGACAAAATAGAAGTGGCTGATGGGTTAAGGGAAGCAATTATTTCTACTCCTTTTATTTGCTCCTCTTTTGTCCAAGGAAATTTAAACATGGGAACGCTCTTGGACCCCTGTAAATCTGGGTGGCGGGCGTGGAGGTGGTGAGGAGAGGATTTTGGTTTATGTGTGGTTTTTTTTTAACATCTTTCTGGCAAGTTCAAAAAAGAACTAGATAAATTCATAGAGAATAGGTCCATCAATGGCTAGGTAGGGATGGTGTCCCTAGCTTCTGTTTGCCAGAAGCTGGGAATGGGCGACAGGGGATGGATCACTTTATGATTACCTGTTCTCTTCATTCCCTCTGGGGCATCTGGCATTGGCCACTGTCAGAAGACAGGATACTGGGCTAGATGAACCTTTGGTCTGAACCCAGTATGGCAGTTATGTTCTTAAGTTGTTGTATACAACATTTTCTTACACATCCAGACCTCAGCACAGTTATCCATGCCACTGTGTTTTCTGGATTTGATTACTGCAAAATGCTCTGATTTGGGCCTCACTGAAGAAGTCTTGTGTACCCCAACTAGTGCAAAATATGGTTTCCTGCATGCAGGAAATGTATTACAGAAGTCTTCATAGTTTTCCAATTCATTTCTCGATATAGAACAGAGCTTGACTTTAATCTCGAAAAGCTTTACTTGTTCTAGATCTTGGCTATAGAAAAGACCACTTTTCTCCCAGTGAGTCAGCATGGTGAATCAGGTCAGCTGAAGTGCTTGAGTGAATAGATTCTAGATTTAAATGTTCAGTGATAGAATAGTCTCAGTTCAAAAAAATGTTCCTGTGTTGGTCAGCGATAATCTGGTATGTTGACCTTATGAGACAGTGTTTGATAAGATTCAGAGTAGCAGCCGTGTTAGTCTGTATCCGCAAAAAGAACAGGAGTACTTGTGGCACCTTAGAGACTAACAAATTTATTAGAGCATAATCTTTCGTGGGCTACTGCCCACTTCTTCGGATGCATATAGAGTGGAACATATATTGAGGAAATATATATACACACATACAGAGAGCATGAACAGGTGGGAGTTGTCTTACCAAC